AAGTTAGGTTTTTTTCCTACAGCGTAAGATTGAACATATGTTGTAAATGACAATTAAGGATGAATGAAATCACTCATCATAAGTGATTTATGAGTTTGTGTAGATGTTGTTGGAAGATAGGAGTGACACTGAAAACTTACCACTGTACTTCTACATAGATTATCTATTATAAAACATAAATTATTAATGATAGATTATTCCCTTAATTGTCACAGATAACATTACCAATCGGTTGCATTTTATATAATATCAAAATATTCTCAAAATTCATGCATTTTCTAAGGGAACCCCAAACCTTTGAGGTACTGTTGGATCTATCAACAACGAGCCTTCACTTGTATCAGTATGGACTCATTCGTGTCTTTTCACCGTCTGATTGGCCAACCCAGTCGAGCAGACCAATCGGCAGGTACACACCCTATATAGGCACTATGCAACCACATCAAAATAAATAAAATAAAGTTGTTCCATCATAGCAATATATTGTGAATATATAATTCTATCTATAAAACAAAAGCCCTCTTGTGGCTCCTATTTCTAAGACATAACAGTAGTCTAAATGTAAATTATGTGTGACAAAATCTAACATAACAAATAAGTATCCCCATAATAACATGTATACAATCTCTTATTAACATACTGTGATGAAAACAAAAACACGAAAACCTCCAGAGAATTTGTTGTTTACGGAGCCAAAGTCAAATCCTTCAATAACGTGCTCGTCAGTGAGGCATTAAACTCCCCCCAACGTAGCCCAAAATATAAGCCCGTCTGTAGTACTGTGTCCATTAAAAGGTTACTGCTTTTTCATGCACAGCCAGCAGCCACCAGCAGGCTGTCGTAATGCCTCTCACTGATGAGAGGGCCATTCGTCTCTGATAACATTCTGGGCTCATTTTCTCCACGTGAACATTAACCACGAGTTGATGAACGAGCAATTAGAAAAGTGAAAGCTGATGGAAGCTTGACGTCTCATTTCTTGGATATCAGTAGCAAATGCTGTTAATAACTTGATAAATGCTTGTCAGTTGTAAAAAGTACAAAAAAAGTTTGGGAAGCTTTGTGAAATATAAATAAAAACAGAATCCAGTTATTTGCAAGTCTCATAAACCCATATTTTATTCACAACAGAACATAGAAAGCATAATACACATACTGGTTTAAACTGAGAAAATGTTACTAGTTTAAGAAAAATATATGCTTATTTTGAATTTAATGGCAGCAAAATATGTCCAAAAAGTTGGGACGATGTTGACTGTGAGGCATCGTCGCTTCTTTTAACAACAGTCAAGAACAAGAACTGAGGAGGCCAGTTGCTGGACTTCCAGGATAGGAATAATATCCCATTTTTGTTTGATATAGAATCTAGCTCACCAAAAGTCCTGACTGTTCTTTTTCATACCAGTTGCAAACATATTCAATGTTTTCAACTGGAAGTCTTCCTGAGCTCAGGCTGTGACTTCAATGACAGACCATTGCCTGTTTTAATGCAGTGTCACCTGAGGGCCTGAAGATCGCGGTCAACCAATATTGATTTTCAGTGAGATTTCAAATTATATATATATCTATATAGATATAGATATATGGTGAAAACTTGGCTCGTTTCTTCTGAGAAACTCTTCCTCTCTAAGATGCTCTTTTTATACCCAAACATGTGACTCAGCTGTTGCCACTTAAACCCTAATTAGTTGCAAAATGTTCCTCAAACTGTTTCTTTTAGTAAAACCTTTTTTTTGCCCCAATCCCAACTTTTTTAACCCTTGTTGCCGACATCAAATTCAAAATGAGCCATTTTTTTCATGAAAAAGTAAACAACTGTGGGTTTATGAGATTTGAAAATCATTACATTTTGTTTTCATGTACATTTTACACAGTGTCACAACTTTTTTAGGGTTTTGT